CGTTTATTGACCATTCTTTCGGCATATACTTTCCATAAATACCATAGTAGAAACGTGAGTAAAGTGAGTGGAATAGTTGCAGCTGGGAATATCCACCATTGGGATGATATCGTAATCGTCGTAGAATTACCGCCAGTCTTCGCCGAGGGACCATCAGATTGGCCCGGACCACTAACAAGATTAGTCCCTAGAAATCCCTATATCCCACTGTTAGCTGGTGTGCCTGTGCCTTCATAGTTTAGTATGTAGTAAAGCGTACGGCAACAAATGTCCCTGGAAGGAAAACCATGGTCATGATCGCAATGGTACTCATCGATGCACTCTCCTTCATTGCTTCCTCAGCCATACGAGAACTGAAATGTGTACTGTGCCGAGTACTCAAGTTGAAAAGCTAGTTGTCATCTCAAGTCAGCCTAGTTCTAGATATAATTGGGACTCTAGTAAGTAACATACCAGATCCAAAAGTCTTTGAGCCCGTGCCGCCACATCCTCTATGGATGTCTTAAAGTATGTAATCTGGTTCTCGAATCGATCATACTCTTCCTCTACACGGGTATAGAGCCAGTCACGGCTGTCCACGTCGGAAGCACCCTTAACCATCCTGTAAAACTGGTCGTGTTGTTTCCGCAAACGGGCGAGAACTCCAAGAATGAAATTTAACTGCAGTTTATCCTGGTCAAGACTGGTAAGCGTCAGGTGTAGTCGTTGTATATTGATTTCCTCTAGGCCGGAACTCCCTCCATGGGCCTTGATCTCCTCTTTTCTCACGGAATCCCTAGGATCTCGGGCAGCCCGCCGGTAGTACTGGATGGTGCTATTGAAATGGAGGAGATGGAGAGCAAATGGATTTCCCGCGAGAGCCGCCGTACTGGGATTGAGTATAAAGTCCACCAACTTATCGTGGAGTTCATCCTTTAGCGCCTTGGGGAGATCGTTGAACGAGCGGTGTTTCAGCAGTATGACGCTCGACTGTGACTTGACGTCGTAGTGTGTCACTATCGTCATCTTCAAGTCCGCCTCTTTATCGACGGCACGAATGTAGGCTCTTGCTCGTATCGCATACCAGAAATCTATCCAAAGTCAGGTCGTTGTCAGTACCGGGTCATAGCCAACATCCAAACAACCTCTATATAAGAAATATATACCTACCATAAGCAGTTACTTTATTCTTCTTGTCATCTCGACCGATTCTCGATCCAAAAATCTGTTCCTGTCCGCGTATATGCGAGCAGGCAGATGGAGGGAAGTCATATCGAGCCAGCACTTTCAGTAGAGAGTCAAGCGATATGTTCAACTCGTCCGCGACCTCGTCCTCGACATGAGCTTCCGTCTTCTCGTCGGCCAGCGCATTGGCTTTGATCACGCTAACAGCCGCAGCATTCGTATGTATTCGATGAAGTACCTTCTCGTGGGGCGTCGATTCAAGGAGTCTGGAGAGAAACGCGACCATCAGTCTGGTTGTAGCTAACGATCATGGGCCACAGGTAGTTACTTACATGAATCGTATTTGCGGCTGCGGTCCGACCTGCGATGGAAATTACTATACCGTCGATATATGGATGCTTTGACCGATCAAATAGCGTGATACGCAAGACAACTTACCAGCAACTTATGCAGAGTCTCGTCGTCGCAGAGTTGTTTCTTCCCTTTGGTGAGAGCAGAAGTTGATCAGCCGCTGAAAATCAAGCTTTCGGGAATTCCCGCAGGTGAACCAAGGCTCGGTCAACCGGTGAAAACAGGTACTTAGAACTAGATATTGTTGACAACATACCTACTCCACGATCATGGTCAAGGACGAGCACTCTCGAGGCTGCTGGGTATTTCTCTGATCGCCAGGAAGTCGGTGCCGACGTTAGTTCTTTCTGGCAGAGCCGCCCGTCATCAAGGGCTGGAGAATACGAGGGCAGGCCGACAGGATAATTTCGCCAGTCAATCTTGTCCATGCCGCAACACTTTTATCGATCTTGAACGGGAAGAAACGAGACAGCGAGCGGATTCTCCATTACTGGCAGTGAAAAGGCAGCAGCTCAGCTGTAAATAGTTTTGCGGTGGTGGTTTGGGTTACGAGAAGCACAGCCTTGCGGCTACCCCTAGCTATGCAAGCCACCTTACTCTCCCGTGTTCGCTATTCTGAGTGCATAAGGTCAAATTCAGGGCGGAGGGCGAGGATTAAATGCGCGGCTACAAGTATTCGGGGTAGATATCCCCTTATTTGCTGCCGGGGCTAGTTAACTAGTTAGCCTTCGTCGATGCTGTCGCTTCACCTCCAAAACTCCGCCCAGCTATCTCAGCCTCTTCTGTATCTCGTCCAAATTTGAGCATTCCCATCTGGAGTTCCAGTCCCTTCTCCTCACCAACTGTCCATTCCCAGTCTGCTGCCTGATAGCTTTGCCTTAGTTCTTCGTTTATATCTTGGATCGTAGCCATCCAGACTCTGAGCCGCTCTTGAGCCGTTTCCACATTGTCTGAATCAAAGTGCTTCGTGGATATAAAACGACCAAGCGTGATATGTCCCATGCAGGCAGTGTAGCATGTGTCTGTTTTGACTCCACTGCTAATGGCCATGCTATGGAGGTCTCTTCTTAAATGGTGATAGGTATAGGTGTCAGTCCCTACTGGAGCGAAGGCGATGGCTACTCCAGCAGCGTCGAACAAAAGCATCGGCCTTCCGAGACGAGCAACCCTTGAATGAGACGCAGCATGGGAGGCTGGGAGGTCCAGCATTTCCTGGACTAACGGTCTTCCAATCTGTTTGAACACGGACCACAGGTGCGCCATTGGATGGCGATGCGAGATCTCAACGACTGATAAATGCAGCCGAGAAGACTCTGGAAACCACATATCTGCCAGTGTGTTCAAATTTTCAATTTAGTTGACTACAGCCATGACATAACTCGTAAGAAGTACCACTTACCAGTTCCCACTACATCTTTAAGCCTGTTCTGTAATCCAAGCAGGAGCTCGAGGATCTTTCGGCTTGGACGAGCCCAGATCACCATACAGTTGACACTCTCGTCTCTATAGTGCTTCTCAATCTCCTTAGGCCCGCTGGTAAGTGCAGTATGCGAGAGATACTGAACAAGGGCAGGGCTGGGTATGATCTTCGCCTTGCCATCTGCCAGTGTCATGGATGCAAGAGACCTTGCCAGGCTCGCTTGTCTGTAAGACTCGTATGCCTGTTGCACTTTTATCTGCACGTCTCGGTTAGCCTGAGAAATCATTCAAATTTCAGTAATTGGCTGAATGCATCGCTTACAGGGTCGCCCTGGCATTCTGGGTGGTCAAGGAGGTCCTGGTACCAGTTCCGCGTTTGCTGGTCAGACTCGAGTTGGGCTGGAAAGGAGAACATGTTGGACGAACGGCGTCAAAGGTACCTGGAATGGCAGAAAGTAGACTACCTCGTAGGTGTAGGTTCTGAAAGTTAGAGTTGGTTATAACTTTCACTGCAGATAACCCAGTTACTACGCCCCCTCCGTATAACCATTAGTTATACGATACGCCTGCTCCATATCGGTGTAGGCATAGGATATTCGACGAAGCCCATTCCTACATAGATGAATAGATGTAGTATGTCTCGATAGCCATCACCATCTATCCATTCTACGCCTATTTACCTCCCTTTCCAGTACTCATATTAGACGCTGCAGCATTCCATAATTTGTGTTCCGCTCTGTATTGAGGCACGTGACTCTCATAGACCGAGTTTGATGAGTAAGCAGGCCTTGGCGAAAGTTGTCGAGAAATGGAGCATTGGATGACTAATAAGCATTTCTTACAACAGCTTACTCAGCAGCGCTGCCGACACTCTGGCTTGAAGACCACGAATGGGGTTCTTCCCTGATACCCGTAACGTTGAGGGGAGTTGATATCCGAAAGGCAATGTCAGCCAACGCTTCCTTAGGGCCTTGGATGCGGTCAACGGGTATATACCTATCTGGCATATCGCCTTCAAGCCACGGCTTTTCGGATAGGGGAAGTTGGGTTTCCAAATGGTGGAATGAAGCAAAAAGTAGAAATATAAACGGAGGAGTGTCCTTCAGTTGAACCAAGTCTAAAATAAAGGAAAGTAGAATTTTTTGAGACCGCGGGAGTAGATAATTGCGTGTCTAAAAGTCATCGACGTCTTTGACAAACTAGATAACTTAGGCAACGAAGACTTATCAAGTGTGAGGCTGCCGCGAATGAATTAACCGATCTGATCACAGAGGTCAGGGCCAGGATCTATGAGATAAGGACCTGTACTATGTATGGACGAAGGATATTGATATTGACAAGTCAAGTCGATTTTTATATTAACCAGCTAACTAACTAAACGACTAGCTTCTTCGCGAGATATGTTTCTTTCTTCGCCGTTATCGCTCAACTCCATCCTTTACTGGTACATAAACAGAGCGACGTGGAACGGAGAAGGTGAGAAAAGTAGGATAAGGAAATATTGAAAGTACGGCGGAAGCGTTTTTATCAGGCTTGGCATCAAGCCCGGTCACGTCAAATGAGATTAAGGGAATGGAAGGATAAGGAGAAGACATCGTCTGACAGTAACGGTGAAAAAGGGGTGGGGGAGGTTGGGCTGGAGCGCGATATTCGAGTATTCCAAGACACTGCAGGCCTTGTTTGTTAATTAGTTGTGTAGGTGTAGACATAATAAACTTGCATATGCATCATTACCAATCCAGAAGACAACGCGAGATTTATGGGGTTGTTGTGATGTAGTAGGGAGGAAGCGGCAGAGTAAGAGAGATAGAGAGACGAGGACAGGGAAGAAGGGGTATGGGAAAGGAAAGGATGTTTGTTTCGCATCGACGTATATAGAAGAGCTGTGTACTTGTTTGAAAGAGAAATCCTGCCAGAACACCACGCAAAGTAACCGAGCGACACATGAGTTAAATCAGAGAGAAAAGAAACCAGATCAAAAAGTTAAGTTTTAAAAAAGGGGTATATATAGCATAGAAGAAGAAGAAGAGGAAGAATTGATAAGAGACGAGGGTGGGAGTCTGAAATCACCATGACTCTCTATCTCTTGGGTTTGTGCTGAGCGAAGTCTCTCGCTCGTGGCTCTTCTTCTTCAGGTCGATGCCATCTCCAATTTCAGTAACCTCAAGGTCGGCGTCGAGGTTCTGGTTGAACAGCATCTTGGGGTTGATGCGCCAGGCTCCTTGTGGAATGAAGGTACTGGCGAATATTATGACAGCCATTACGCTGTACTGCACACCTGCAACGTTGTGAATTGCAGAGTGGATGTCTCCTCCGTCACGGCCACCAGTTCTAATGTAGACCGAGTCGATGTATTGACCCAGTAGCGGCGATGTGATAGCGTATGTAACGATGTAGGTGGTGTAAAGGCAAGCCATGACGGCACCGAGGGGGGAAACGTTTTGAGCTTTGGATTCGTGGCGAGCAAGAGCGGCTTGGATGTAGGCTGCAAGAGAGACATCTCCAGCAGCCCAGCCGAAGGAGATGGGGAGGAAAGTCGCGCCGATGATCCAGGCGTAGGCGACCTGGTCTGGTGGAGGCGTCCAGAAGGAGAGGTACCAAACTCCAAGCAACATGACGGCATCGAGTCGAACCCAGGGAATCGGGGTGGTGACGAGGTTGGTGAAAAGGAAGACGAAAAGAGCACCGAGCAATTCTCCCAGGTTAGAGCCACCAACAATGATGTTAGCCCAAGCAGAGTGACCGAGGTAACGACGGGCGACCGCGGGAGCAAGGCCGTTCTCAAGATAGCGATGACCGTAGAAGGCAATGGAGTAACCAGGGATAAGCCAGATGAACCGTCGGTTGGTGAGAAGAAGCTTGGATCCGGTCCAGATGGACTCGCCGAAGAGGTAGAAGGAGACAAACACTGCCTTGATGTAGGTTGGTCGCTTGCCCATGAGCGGTGGAGGAGGAGGCTGGAAGGTGTCTGCTTCCTTGATGAAGAACCAAGTGGCACCGGCCATGGCGAAGAACACGGGGGTGATGATGAATGAGTAGTTGTTCCCCAGGGTCGGGATGAGGGCTAGAGCAGTGCAGAATGCGCTAGCTGTGCCTGACGTCTCGTAGAAGACGTGGACCATGGCATCGAGTCGACGAAGCTTTTGAATGTTTCCTCCCACGATATCGCGAGGGATGATACGGCGGATCAACTCGACCATCCCGTAGACAAGACCAGTGACACAGTAGATGGGTATAATACCGTCGGTGTTGTAATCTCCATAGTAGTGGAAATCCATGGCCGGATGGTCGCCGCGGAACTCTGGTGGCATGATAGTTCCGCCGGTGGCAGCGTCCACGACCATTAGGATACCGGTGAACAGGCCGAACAAGACGACAGAAACAACCAGGACAAGCCTGGCTGGAGCCCGACGGACCAAGGGTGCGATCATGATCGAACCCACACACTGGCAGGCCTGGTTGAGGCCGCTGAGAAGCCCAACTCGCTCGAAGGTCTTGGCCGGTCTATGCTTCAAGTAGGCATCGTAGTCGTACCGGTTTGTAGCGAGGGCGAGAATAGAACCATTGAAGGCCTCGAGGCCGAACTTGTAGAAGGCGATACCTAGAATGTATAGGAAGATGTTACGACGCTCGACTGCGCTGAACATGCCCCAGCTGGTACGCACGCTCTCTTTGACCGTGGCTAGAATCATGATGGGCAGAGTGATCCTGTTGATTATGGAGGATGTGGTGTTGCTGCTGCTGTAGGCCCCGGTCTCATCTCATGGGCTGGCTGTTGTCTCAGTAGAAGGGACACACACACAGAGAGAGAGTGAGATGAGCGAGAGTTCTCAGACAGACTTCACCATCGACGAGCAGACGAAGCAACGACCATCAAAGAGGAAACGGGGGGAAGGGATGTTCAGGAGGCAGCGGGACAGCATCAGAGTATATATTCGCTGATTAAAAGGGCGTTGGTCCCTGGGGCTCTGGGTCTTCTGATGACGGTTTTCCCATATCTGCATCGCAACCGACACCAGCAGCAAGCCAAGGGCTTCGAGCTCAAGCACAAGAAAGATAAAAAAAAAAAGAGCGAGAGCAAAGACGGGCAAAAAAAGAAAAAAGAGCGAATACCACGCCCAATGACGGACAGGATGCCATGCCCGTGCAATCGGGGGAGCTTAATGGGCCCAAGTAAGGCCTTTTTCCCTCGAGTTCTTAGCCTGCCTGCCGGGGGATAAGACGCACCCATGTCGACTCTCCATTTTGCCTTGGTGGAGGTACGCCTCGAAGTGGATTGCGGGAGACGCTTGATATTTCCGTCAGCGAGACGGTGATTGGGCGGCAGGGGCATATCTTCTGACCTTGGGCCCATCCAAGTGGTGAGCAGCAAGAAGGGGGAGAAGGGGAGGAGGAAGAAGCAAAGGGCTTGCCGGCAAAGAGGCAAAAGCTTGGATCGACGGCTGTGGCAGATTCGGGAGGCTGGCAAGGGGCTGCCTATTGGCCCTGCGGCTAACTCGCCTGCCACCATAATTAACAATGGCGACGATAATAAATAGCACAGCGCTCGCGCTCTTCTTTCTCGCTCGCCCTGGCAGCGCCTTTCGGCATCGAGGCTCCGGGCTAGACGTCTCTCGCTCTCCCTCTTTGTCTTGTCCCAACAGGGAAGATGGCTCGGCTGGGTTATTTGTTATTTTCTGGTGGAGTACGGATAGTAATAAAAATACTTTTCTAAGTACGGAGTACTGAGATGCGTATCCTTTTTCTCGTAAGGTTAGGCCTTCAAGCCAGCGTGCCGGTAATGCGTGCTCGATGGACTCCGTACGGAGAGTGTAATGTATATATAGAACTGGTCTTTGCATTCTTGCTGGTCTCTCTTAAAAAAATCCCCCGACTATGGGACTACTGGCCCTTCCTCTGTGGCGTATCAGGGGTCGTCCAGGGGGCAAGCCTGTCGTGCAACAGCCATCCATTCGAGTTTGGTTTGAGCCCACGCCCGGGGATGCTTCGGCCATGCTCGTCGCTAGGCCATGCGGAACCAGCTTCTGATTCGAGGCACGGCGCATATCGCGCACATCTGCCCTCATTGAGCTTCTAATTTGGGCGTTTCTTGGTCGTTTTGCGAGTCGAGCTGGCCCATTTTTTACGCTCGGCGTTGGCTGCAGCGAAGGTTGGAGGCGACGACCGGCCGGGGAGAAGGGAGCAAATCTTCGACCACAGCAGCCGCACGTGTCGCCCATAGGCCAAGGTACCTGTGATGTACCTCGCAGTAGTCCGATGTATGGGGATGTACATGCATGTACCTCTTGGCGATGCAGCGGCGATGCGGCAGCTATGGCAGCCAGTTGTCGATGAGGAACGTCACCGAGAATTACTTATTATTGGAAAAAAGGTGAAAAAAAAGGGTCCCTGTTCACAAGCCTTACTCGTTAGTTTATAGCTAGGGGGAGTGGAGGGGGGACTCATCTGCTTTTTTCATATCACACCACAGTCTCTCGTCTACATGGCCGAGGGCATATAGCAAAGCTCTTAGTCGGACTTCACGTGTAGCAGGCCGCCATTGCAAATGGCAGCAAGTTAGAAGCTCGCTCAATCTCTTGGTAGTTGCTCATCGTGTTGGCAATAATATATTGGCAATTTGCTGCTCCACGGTTCTGGGCTGCTTCATAGTACCAGGCTTCATTCTGTGAGGCATCCTTGCTATGCAATTGGTGAAACACGGTGGACTCCTTAACCCCATTATTGTTATACATAGAAGTGTGCACGTATCAACTCTCCATCCTTCCACTCCCATCCACGCTACATACTGGGGGGAACGAGAGGCCCCCCCCCTCTTAACGCCGCACTAAGGCAGCAGGAAAAAAACGTGCTGGACAAGGGTCTGCAGGTCAATTTGTGAATCTGACGAGTTATGCGGGTGAACGTCCGGTCTCCTGGTGAAACACCCCTTCCATGTTTTTATCTCAACCATCGCCATGCTTGACCCTCCCCTTGCATCCAACGTTTGCATTAGCACCGGCAGTAGCACTGGAGTGGCCCCCCTAGTGAGTGGTTAAAAACGTGCAAACCCAGTGCGCTGGGTGCTCCATTCCGCATCCTTCGTGTCCTTATCTATCTCACACCGTCCAGACCGCCAGGCACCACCAAAGTAACCATAAGTGTACCCCATTTTTTAACTCGGTGCCATCGTACCATGCCAGGGGCACAGTCCAATAATAGACTGTTCCCTTTTCATGAAATCTCTGTTCGTCGCTTCTTCGCTTGAACACCTCGGGCTTCAACCTTCCCTATTGCGGGCAATACCCTAACTGCGTGAAAAACATATCCTTCCGCTCCACCCCGGCCAGTCATGAGAGGGTGTGTTCGACCGGGAAGCACTTGCCACGTCCTCACTCGAGATGTGTGTAACGTGGGCGCTAGCAGCAACGTTGGGTCAACGGGGAAGTCCTCCTCCTTATCTTCTGCAGCCCCTTCTGCCACCTCTCGCTTATAGGTGATGTACGCGGTCCTGCGTGCAGTTGAGTAGAGATCGGCTAGCTGCACCAGTGGTTCAATGTATGGTGAGTACACCACCACCTGTGCCGACCCAGCCAGCAAAGGGACCGTGTATTTGAGTATAGATGCAGGATCCATTAAAGTTGCAACAATAAGTCCGTCAAATCCGCCTGCTCTTGTTTCGTCAACCGTATTACGTACTCTTGTCCAGCGCCGTTTCTTTTTGAAATGCATTGATCGTTTGGAGGGTTTCCAGCTCGCCAGTTCCTCCTCGCTAATCTCGGGTGGCTCCATTTCATATATTGCGTCCTCAGATGGATGGAGAAGCTGCAGCCACGATAAGGTCTTCAGGTGAGAAGACAGTGGATGGGTTTCCGAAGGTTCATTGATATCATGAGAGAAGTATTTGAGCATGCTCAAGTTCGGCTGTAAATTGTGATGAATAACCGTTAATGTCGTGTGGGGTGCAGGCGTTGCTTCCACTGCTGGCGTCTCATCCTCCACAGACTGTGCAGGTCTTACTCCCTGTTTTGTAATGCTGCCAAGTCCCTCCCCAGAGAGCACTTCGGGAGGATATAGAATGCCTGCCCTTTCTGCCATGGCGGCGACAACCAGGCCACCGGTGTCGTCCACTATCAACCATCGTCCCTTAGCCTGATTGACCGCCCCATTCACCTTTGCCGCACCTTCAGACTCCCCGCTGCCGCCATAATGTACATTAGCCCAAGCTCCAATTAAACCTATAGTTTCATCCCGCAATTCCAAAACCCGCCCCGGATCTTTCTGCTCAAGCATCCATTCAGTCAGCACCCCTACATCCATTGGCTCCACCGTGAATCGATGCAGGTATTTCTTGCGTTTCCTAAGCATATACTTGGCACGCGAGAACTGCGTCTTCTGGTCAAGTGCAGAATGCGACTCAAGCAGTTTTGAAATGATCTCTCTCCCTGCATCAGTAGAAGACTGTTTTAGCTCCTCAATCTGCTCCATTGTAAGCTGCTGTGTGCTCTTGTTATCAATGATGTGCCTGTTATCCTCTTGAGGAAATGGCGCAGATGGAGTGCTTGTCCCAGCTTCACCCTCGCCCTCACCCTCACCATCTGCAAGTAGCGCCTCAGTATGAAGCTCAGCTGCGGGCACAATATGCAGGACATGGCCGTCATCATCTGGATTGTCTGCAATCTCAAAAGTTGCATAAAACGGTCTGCCAATTATTTGGTTGCATGGAAACGACCCATACTTCCCAAGAGATATGTTCCTACCGCTACCGTTAGCTATCACTCCAGGACTCGTGAGATGGGGTTTACCTTACGAGTTAGGTACTGTCTGTATAATCTTCGTGACGTCTGACGGCAGCTTAAGCGCCACATAAACATTTGGTGGTATGGATGAATGCATCTTTGATCTACTTCCCACCTACAAACTGCTCTTCGATCCCCGCGTTGATCTCGGAAAGCTGACACTTTGACCGTCAAAATTTCCTAAAAGAGAAAAAAGCTTGAATTGGAAAACACCACGGGCCGGAGCTTTAATTACCCGGACGCCGTCCTTACGTCATCCGGCGCTTATTTTAACTTTCTTTCGGCTTTCGTTCCCGTTTCTTCTTTTTTACTAACACCGCAGCGAGAGCATGAAGCAACTAATTATTAACCGCTAACTAGCCTCTCTGCCGGCTATCAACAGCTCCACGACGACAGCGCGCGAAACGAATCCCCGAGCACAGCCTCACGAATCGAACAGCTGTGTTTGCCTCCGCGACTGTTTGCTCCTTCTCGCGGTGTCACTGGGTGGAGACCTGCGCCTCATCCAGGCTGCCGTCAAAACCTCCATATGAAAGAGGGACGGGGCATTTTCTCACAATCCTGCGCCATCAAAGGATATAAAGCCGCAATCAGTGTTATGATGCAACCAAGTTTTAAGCTAAACACGACTATCATTACTTTCGCTTTTTGCTGGTAGAAGGGAACTTCACCTTTTGCCCAATCTGCTGCTACATATATACAGCTGTTGGCAACCATGGTTTCGACACGCACTGAGCCTGAGGCAGGTCATGTTGCGGGATATAAGGATATGTCGCATGAATCTAACACACGGCCCTCTCCTGATGTGAGGGAATCGCATAACGATGCACATGCGACTGCGGAGTTGTCGCAAACCCCACTGTCACAGACAGTTGACCACGGCCAGAACAAAACTGTAGAGGGAACGTCGAGTTCCTCTGTGACTGAGTCGGGGCATGCCGCCTTGCCTCAGATTCCTCCGACCGATGGCCTCGAAAACTCCGCAGACATCTGGGCCGACAGCGTAAATAGCGATTTGCGACAATACAATCCGCCTACGCAACCATTTTCTGCCCAAGGAACGGGACAGACGGATTCCACCTCTCTAAACGACCAGACACGGGGTGAGATACCAACATCTGGCATACAGCTACAGTCGAATAATCCATTTCTCAAAGCCAAACTGAGTCGCGATAGTGGGTGTCTTCTAACTTCATCAATTAGACAACGTTCACTGACCGTAGCTATAGAAAATTTGAACACAGCATCAAATGCTACTGAGGACCCTTTCGATAACCCGAATGCTTCTATTCAGCCCCAACGTTCCTATAATGCCAACCAGATCTGCGACAAAATGGGCAACTTGACCCTGGATTCCTCCGCACGTAATAATACTGTTGGCGCTCATGATAGCCAAGCCGTCCCTGCTGAAGGTAGGGTGCGCGCGACCCATGAAGTTACATCGCCAACGGAATCCGGGGATCTGATCGATTTAAACTCTCATGACCACTCAGAACCAGAGACACACTCAGTGATGCACACTCCTAGCGAGTCTAGTGATGAGAAAAAAGATAGAGGCAAAGGAGTGGCCATTCAAAATAGTGAACATCTAGAGCCTGTTGTGACAAACCCAACCGGCCCACCTCTAGTTCCGGGCATAGTTGAACCAGCTTCGAGTCCCAAACCTGCATCCCCTGCGCCGTCATCTCAACACTCAAGCCATAAGTCTGAAATATATGATATTCGCATTGTTAATTGGACAGATGGAACCACTGAGTTACGCCAGTCGCCAATTTTGGTGCAAAATGAAAATGGGCCATGTCCACTCCTTGCGTTAGTCAACGGCCTTGTCTTAAGGTCTCCGATTAATGCGCAAACGCCGCTTATCCGGGCATTGCATTCTAGAGAAAGGATATCTCTAGGATTGCTCATACAGGCCCTGTTTGATGAACTCATCAGTTCACCAGACGGACATAATGATCTGCCTGATATCGAAGCCTTAAGCGTGTTTCTCACAATGTTGCACACTGGAATGAACGTAAATCCACGATTAACTCCGGTATGTTCCTGAATTGACCCAGCCTTTTCAGTTCTCTAACTCACCTTTATAGATACTACATCCTCCTACACCTGGAACTTTTCTCAAGACACGAGATATTGAACTATATAGTACATTTAACCTCCCGCTAGTCCATGGCTGGACTGCGGCACCATCTTCACCAACTCACGAAGCAATGCTTCGTGTTGCCGAATATCACGACGATATTCAGTTACTTCATTTCAAAAGAGAAGATCTAGAATCTAGAGCTATAAATACCGGGTCGTTAGCTTCAGACGAACAACGACTGTTTGAGGATATAGATACCATCCAACGATTTGTGACCGTAGACCACCCTACCCAATTGAGCCCCTTTGGTCTCCAGCACCTGGAGAGATCCATACCAGCGGGTAGCATATGTGTGTTATTCAGGAACGATCACTTTGCAACACTCTTTAAACACCCGATATCTAACCAGCTATTCACACTGGTTACCGATGCTGGGTATGCCGGCCATGCAGAAATTGTCTGGGAGAGTCTGGTGGATGTGAATGGCACCAACTCGGAGCTATACTCCGGTGACTTCCGCCCCGTAGGGCATAGCAGCTCTGCACCTAGCCAGCCTCCGCCATGCGCAGAAGAGCCATCTTCGAGGGAGAATGCGAGTGCTACCGAACAAACAGATGCAGATTATGCCTTTGCCCTCTCGTTACAGTATGAAGATGAGCAAACCCGGCGAAACGAGCAAGGTCCTCCACAACCCCCACGCAGGTCACAGAACAACCTCAGAGTAAGCTCTGAAACTACATCTCCCCGGGGTCGGTCTCAACATCAAATCCGGAACACCCGGTCCGCTAGCTTTTCACGACCTAATTCTGCCCTTCCATCAACTTTGACCCCCCTCCCCCGTACACCTACTACTCACCGCCCACCCCCATCAAGGGCTCAAGGCTTCCCTCCAATGGTTCCACCTGCCACTAACCAAAATAATCCCGTCAATGACCCTAATGCCCCTCCCCCGACCTATGAGCAAGCTGCTCAAGAACCAGCATATATCCCACCACCTAATGGGCCCTTGCACCCTCAGCAGCAGCAGCAGCAGCAGCAGCAGCAGCAACCCTATAACGGTCCTATGGGCCCAAATCCTCAATATAATCGAATGTCGGGGTATGGTCCAAGTCCACACATGCCTGGCAGGAGACGACAATACCCTGGCTCGCTGTCAACCTCTTCATTACCCCATCGTGACGATTACTATAGAGAAAGAGATAGGAATAAAGATTGCATTGTGATGTGATTCACCGCATTGGTGGTTAAGCATTCTATTCCTAGGCATCTCTTTATTTCTTGTGTTCGGATGCTTCGGCTTTAGTTAACGATATTTGTTGTATATAAGTGCACGTTATTCCCCATCAGCGAAATGCCTCTGTCATACGAGTATGTGGTTCTGAATTTATGAGAATATTATGGGATTGACGATGTGTTTGGAACTCTTACACATCTATGTCAATTCTCTCGTCTATGTATCTAGCACATACGAACATAGGAAGTGGAAAACAGAGCTTCCCGTCCGCTCAGCTGTACTTAAGCCACTTGCCGGTCGGTTAGTAGTTGGGTGGGTGACCACCAGCGAATCCCGACTTTCGTATGTTTTGATTTTTTTTGGTCTTTTTATTATATTTTTTTACGGTCCTGATATTTGTATTTGCTCTATTTGCAAATAACACCCTTCTACTTTTGGTTCTTGGCTATAGCCGGTTGTTGAAGAGAAGTCCTGCTTACAGAGGAACAGTATTATTAGAAACATAGGTCAAGTTTTTATTATAACAGAATATTTTCTATATATGTAACAAAGACAACATCAAGCAATGACTCTAACGAGCCATCTCATTTTATCTGCACTTCATTAAACATTCCTCCTAACAGCCGAGGTAGATAGCTAGAGATATGGTCAGTCAAAGTCCTGCTATATCATGAAGGTGAAGGGTAAGCTTACCATTAGCAAAAAGGGCATAGGAATCAGCATTCTGAATTGCCTGGGCAGCAGAAAGAGAAGTGGCATCCTCATATCCATAACCCAAGTCATCACAGAAGGGACTAACAACGGCAGAGTCATGGGTCATCTCGTGAAGAGTGGTAGTGGCCTGATCCTGCTCGTAGCAAGACTGGGCAAGGGCAGGCAGGTCGGAGTAGTAGATTGGGCAGTTGAAAATGAGATTCTGGTCCGGAAGAGTATAAGCAAGGACACCAGGAGAGCAGCCATTCATGGAATCAGTGCAATAGTAGGTAGTGCTTCCATAATCAACATAGGAGGATTCACTGGCAACGGACTAGAGACGGGAGACGATGGTGTTAACAGTGCTGCTGCTAGTAGACTTAAAGAACTCTGCGACAGTGTTGAGGTTGGAAGGGGCAGCTTCGGCAGCAGCTTGAGCGAGGGCAGCAGAATTGTAAAGGGCGCCTTCTAGAGCATCAAGTTTGCCCTGGGTGCAGCTGGAGGTGTCGATGTTGGTGCGCTTATCGATAGTTCCGCGTGATTTCTTGACCTTTCCCATGGCTTGTCCAACGGAGGATGCCTTCTTTGCGTCAACATCCAATTCAAGCTTGTTGGATTCGTATCTGGCATATCCGGTGATGGTGGTTGCATTTGCGCCATGTCCCTCGGCAGTACGAATGGTTCCGGAGGCCATGACGGTGATCTTTCCACCGCGGGTCAAATCATGGGTACGAGCAATGTCAAAGGTGCTTTCAACGCTGGCTTTTGGGCCAAGGGAGGTGAAATATTCAGGGGAGAGATTAGACATTTTATATCGGGGAAGCATGCCGGTGAACTTGACCTCGGTGCCTATTCCACAGAGTCAATATACAGGGAGTTGTATAACGGAATAAGAGCTAGCTTACCGTTCTGATAGACCCTGACCTTGCGGGTTGGGTTCTTGTCGAGAATGGTATTGAATTGCAGCAAGTTCAAAGCCTTGTCTCCTTTGTTGGTGATGGTGGCTTTAATCATGGTGTTTCCGGTAGCCGAAAGCTGAACGTCAATCATGGACTGCTTTGCTGGCGTATTTGGAACAGCAGCCGCCGTAGCGGTGGCTACCAACGCCCCAATAGCGGAGAGAGCAGTGAGGAACTTCATCTTGTATGGTAGGAAGGAAAAGGAAAGGAGAAATTAGTGATATGGGAGCAGAGAAACGGTGAGTTAGAATTGAAGAGGGCGTTTGGAGGGACTGGCTGCTCTGGCTATAGAGGTATCATGACTGCGGGTTGATGTCACTTTATATATCTTTTTTGACATTGCCATGCCCGTGTAGGACTTGGAACGTGGTGAGCATGATAGACTGTTGAAGCAGTGTTCCGCAAGGTAGGATTATCCACTGGGGTAATATAATATATAATGAGGTTTTATAGGATGTTGCTGGAGACATTCAGTTAACTTTCGGATATCCGTGGGCATGGACCCGGAATTATGTAGCATCATTCGGACATGGCCATCACAGCATCAAAACATGATAATCAACAATGACAGCTTGAATTGCTGTGCATGACTGGATAGGAAGTGAAGAGGGACACAGTCACTCTACAATATGCACCTGACGGACATTTGGAGAAACCCTAGGCTTCTAGTAAACCCCACGGTGCACTAAGCTTTCACTAAAGGTCATAACCATCATGTCGATAAAAATGGTGAATTTCGTATTGCGTGGTATCTCTCGTGATAATAGTAACGAGCTTTTACCGAGGCAATTGGAAAATAGGAACGACGCTGAGTCGAACCATATGTTTGCTCGAGTTTATCACGACCACATTCGGGCATTTCCTCAAGAAGGTAAGCCGACCGGAGAACGAGTTAACAACTGGAGCGGTGATAATTTATTGCCCCATATTTATTCAAAATCTCCAGGGGAAATATAGTAGGTTGTGCCTAGAAAACCCCATGCCGTTGGATGGCGGTAAGCTAGCCAAACTATCTCAAAACTCCTCAACCCATCAAAGTTTAGTAGTTTAAAATGTCATGTTAAGGCGTGGCTGGCATCGGTCTCCAATCTTGAAACATATCGTTATAGCTCTTAGGTTGCAGTAGATATACTCCATAGTAGTATTCTTTATCAGTTCACGTTTTTCATATTGTTCAACATGAACCAGTGTGAACTTGCAGAGAGCAGCATAGTAGCTGAATATATTCCTCAGCTGCTAATATGGGATGTCCCTGGACACTATAACATAGACACGGGAGATCCGCAGCTTAGATAGCTCCCCCTGCGTCTTGTTATCAGATGTTTGTGGGCCTTCGCCATGACTAATTAGGGGACCAGCCCGAGCTCTTCATGGCAAGGCATCCTCTCACTTGGATTGGAGCCATGCTCCCCACAAGTAAAGAGGCCCATCCACCCAAGAGAGTTGACCCCAATCACGGGCCTTGAAACATGAACATGCGTTCTCTGAAGATATTATTGATGTGGTAACCGTCCAAGCGAAGCATAACACAGAAGGATCCCTATAAATGTAATCCCTGGCATTAGGTGGTTAATGATCCTCATGCTAGCCCCTTCGTTGAGAAATGTTGGTTTGGTGTCCAGAACAATTGTTTAGTTGTTCCGAACAGGTGTCCTTGAATTAGATGCATGGTCCATATGGTAACTTGTGGAGGATGGAGGTTCGATAAACAACCTCAGAAAGCGGCTGCAGAATGTGTGGACAGCCTGAGCAGCGGTTGATAAAGGGGCCATTTTGAGTTTTCTCGAGTCCCAAGACGTACACAGTACGGAGTAAGTACAAGGCCAGAAATCATTGGCCACCCCACAAAGTACATTGGCGTGGAGCCGGCCAATTGTTCTGGCAAGGGCCTGCACACCTGATTAGCCGTAGCGAGTTAGCAACTTTCACTCCCAGAATGACAGGGTGTGAAAAGGGGCTGTCGAAGTCTTCGCGCTTCAAGTAACGAAAAGTAGGCGGGTGAAAACTGCGTCACGTGCAGCATTAGTAATAAAAATAACTACCGAACTACTTCCATAAGAAGCCATCACTTTCCGTTGGGTGGTTACGGAGTACTCCGTATCCATTATTATTAGATATATGTACTCCGTACAGTACCTGGAATCCCATCACGTACCAAATGACAGGCGACTTAAAACGCAGATTGCATTCAAGTTACTGGTGCTGATAACTATTATTCCCACCTTGGCAATGCTCCCGCGCTCCAATTTTCATCACACCCTTCCGGGAGCCCAGAAGTATCGGGGGGCTATGAATTTGATCGCTCATTGTGCGTTTAACGGGCGACGACAAGCCTTAGAACTCCAAGCTGCCGTCGCAAATTTTCTCCAGAAGAAATGTCATCTGTAGGACGGAACTTCGGGTAGGAACCTCAACCGAGTTTGCAGGGGCTCTCATACCTAACATGGGACGACTCCCCTGGCGCTTCTAGGTATTAAGCAGATTATTGGGGGAGGGTGGGAAGGGAGAGGTCAATCCAATAACGATCCTTGTGATGCATGATGAACGATGGCAGAAGAGGGGTAGAGTCTGTCCACGCGGCTGCATCTTTGAATTTAAAGCCAGGAATTAAGCCGTCTTATGTTTCTTTGACCCATACTACGCAGAAGTTCAATACTCTCCCCTTCATATTATACAGGACTATCTCCTCAGAATGTGCAGCTTCAGGGTACGGGTCCATAATTGCGGCCACTATCACAAGAGTCTCAAACACCCGTGCAGCGAGGCGAAGAGCCGCAAAGAAGTATGTGAGAGGGTAACCACAGAAGATGCCTCGACGAGCGGATCGCCTCACTGCGGGATCATTGGGTGTGACAAGAAACCAAATCTAAAGCGTGAGGGCCCAGGTACGCGGTTAACATGTTTTGTAGCTATACTCCGTACCAACGTTCTAACGCCTGCTAACGAAGCACCGAAGGTGCCAGAACCGATGGTGGATTCGACAAGGATGACGTTGACTGGGATGAGTATTAGCCGGCATAACTATAGTATGGGTCGGTCTCCGTCAGGCTATCGTACGCCTTGTCCTGGTACGGACGGCTTCCAGGCGCGACATTGCTTCCGATATACCTATGCGTGTCGTCGTGTCCTCTCTCATTAGACATCTCGCGACCTGTTCCAGAACGGTCGCATGGGGGCTGCTGCCGGCATGAGATGCGATTTCTGATAAGAGCTTCCCGTATGCCCACACGTCGTTTAGTCGCCGCACTTCGAACGGAAGGTCAAGGGGCGATATTTCGTCTCGGATCTCTGGGGCGCGCCACTCGTGGGTTGTTCCGCCAATGCCGCTAATATCAATAAGAATCGCATTACCTTTCCCATCAAGCACTATATTCGAGGATTTTATATCCATATGAGTCCTGCCTGCCGCGTGAAAGAGGCGCAATGCGGTTCCAATCTGTAGAGCCCACTTCTCCCAATGATATCCGCTTATGCTACCATCATCCAGTGCCCGCTGTAGCGAGCCACCGCTGTAGAACTGTAGTAGAGTACCGATCACCACCTGTTCCCCCGTTGGCGAGGTCTTATATGGGTCTATATCGACGGCGATCCCGGCCACTTGCACAATATTTGAGACCCCCCGAAAACGCTCAAGGTTCTCTAGTTCGTTTCGCATGACGTCCGTGTCGCGGGGCTGGTAGAAAGGTCTGTTTATTATCTTGAGAATATACGGGATCCCGGCTCTGTAGACCTGGAAGACCCCGTCTGTGATTTCGGCCTTGTCTGTCAATTCCGTAACGTTGATCCGGTCAAGTGAAGGGAATTCCACGCATGATAGGTATACGACCCTTTGCGGGTCCTCCCGAATCTGATATCGCAATTTTCTCGCCATCCTCGCAATCCTGTTCGTAGGCTCTTTGGTTCCATAGTCCAGTCTGATAGTAGTCGTTGGCTCCGATTCTTCTCTCAATACTATCTCAGTCACCGTATCATCAAAAAGGGCAAGTGATCCGTAGTTTATCGCTTTGGCGAAGTCTTGAAATTCCCTCCGTCGTTCGCGTTTTGGGGCCCTCCGCTCGTTCGATATGCCAGGAACCGAGTCCTCTAGTGTCACTTTAACCCACCACTTCTTGCGCTCGTGGTGGTACACCAGAGTCTGCGAGCGAACACTCGGCTGTGACTCTCCCCGCGCGAGAAAGTCCTCATCTTCCCAATATACCCTAAAGTCGAGCGCGGGCGTAGAGCCTGTGCAATCGGGCACCGGGCTGATCATAGCACTGATGCTAATGGAGGTGTAAGATATAGAAACCAGGACTTAGAAGTAGCAGGATAGTCGTCGTAGCAGAGCAGTGGAGGTAAAATGGAACCTTAAGGTTGGTCTCCAGCGGTTTAAGCTTAACTAGTTTTAGTTACCAACTCCGAAGACGCACGTGACGCATTGAAAGCTTCAGCTATCCGAAATTCTCTCCTCTGGACCAAACTCTGATACTACGTTAGCACTGCTACATCTGATGCCGAATTTCACGAACTTGTGATCCCTCCTTATCGTGCTATGCAAAAGCCGTTCAAGGACAATCATAGACTGGGAATATGCTGGATTCTATTCTGCTTAATTTGACCGCTCGTTCTACAGGCGCAATGGGTCGTCGGTGGCGATTGACGGTGAACCAGATGATTCATAGATTTTGCTTGATTTCCTCCAGTCGTGTCTGCAAAGCAACCTGATATGATGCAACATGTTTTAGTTGCATCAGAGTTTTATACTGCAGCTCTAAGCTAGGGAAAGAGAAAGTACTTTAACCCATTCACCATGTCGTTAAGTCTACAGAGTAGTGCTAGACCACGGAGTATATATCCCGCCTTTTGGAGGATACCATTACACGACACCTTCATATTTAAGTACAGATGGCATATCAGCTAATCTCCTCATGATCATCAAACGGCCACCCCTTGTTGATCAGGATGATGTCCTCTTCGTCGCCTTCTGCTTTGTTGAGCATATCCTGCTTGAGTCGCTGGACTCCCTTCATTGCAGCTTCATAGTTCTCGTTACTAACCCAGCCATCTTCGCTGATAGACAGCTCATCCCGCCAATAATTCATGACAGCGTTGAAGCAGAGCCACATCTCTTCCTGCTTTAGAAATTCATCGAGATCTGATATGTCGAACTTTACAGGGCATTCAATTCCCTTGGTTTCTGGGAGTTGATCCCAGTAATCAACCATCCGGACCAAAGCACCTTTCAAGGTAATTGTATTTCCACTCCACTGGCGTCCTGCCCTGTCCACCAGGTGTTTCCTTGGGTTCAACAGGGGATCTCTTAAGGCGTTGAGATGGGGCTTGTTGAGCACACCCGTATATATACGGTAGTAATGGGTCATCAGCAAATGACGATACAGTTCATCCGCTTCGGCTTTCTCATCGCTCTCTAAGCTGTCATACTCAGGTGGTAGAGTTGGCTCTTCTAAATCGAGCGGTTCATCGGTGTCGGGGTTCTCAAAGGCCTGGGGATAGCCAGCAACAAGGAGGCGTGGTTCGATCGTGGTATGTTGCCAGTCAATTAAACAAGTTATCTCACACGTTTCAGGGTCAACGAATATGTTGTTTGGGTTAAGGTCTGTGGGTATGTGAGCATTTTGGAATTTATTAACAGAAAAAAGCATTAGAATACGGGATTCACTAGTTAACTAACCCGGGTGCCTGAGAGTTGGAGTGTTTAGTTCAGAGCCTTCTCTTGGGAGAAGATATGGAGCTAATGCCAGGTAATTACGCAAAAGGTCAACGTATCTGTCTGGATTTTGCTTGCCAGTGAGCACACCATTGTGGGGGAACTGAAGCTCAAGTGTCTTTCCGTATTGTTGTGTCCACTTGATTTCCTTGTCCGCGATTGATCGGAGATAGGCAGTAGAGCTGCTCCCTGTCGAAGAGTCAGTTGCCATTTTGATACGCTCAGTAAAGGGAGCACATACATGGTCCCCTTGATATATCTAGTCCTGCGCGTTTACCATACCAGAACATATAATCAGCAATTGGGCCAATGCAGAACTTTTCGGGAATGTCTTGCCCATCACTTTGGCTAAGGGAGGGCACATCATGTAACGGCGCTTGAAGCTCGGCTGGTATATCCGATTTGAAATAGACACTCCCAATTGAGCTGAATGGTAGAGAGAATAAAGTCTTTTCAATTTCCACAAAACTGGAGGCTAATTTATGCCTTTGTCGTTTTGTCATAGAATCCCATTGTTCTTTTACTTGGGTCCCCTGAGCTCTCTCCATAATTATGTACTCAACTCCAGCAGGGTTATCGCTAGAGGCAGAGTATCCAAGCACGTTTGGAACGGGTATATTTATTGTCCTCAATAGCTCCAAGGTCGCTGCCTCACTTGCAATTGCATAATATTTTGGGAGCGCGGTCTGGTATGGCATTTTGGCAACCGCTTGGAAGCCATCCTCCATAGTCAAGAGTAATACGCGGTTGAAGCCCCCTTCCGCAAGTTTTGTAATATCTGCCACTTTCCCATGGTTGATGTGGCTTGCAGCGAGTTGCTTGAGAGCTTCAACGTCAAACCTGACATAGCGCTCCCTCCTCCTGAGAGATTCATTGAACACATATCTGCCAGATGTGTACGTAAAAAGGTCGTCGGATACTTGGGTGCCTAGTATTGATAATAAAGAGTTGGCGGAAGGAGGCATTGATGGGTGACAATATATGCATACTCATCCCTCGAAGATATCCCCAGACTTGCCAATGTCTCAGCTTGCTTCCAAGAGAAAACTTCAAAAAGCCGGCAGGCTTCACTGCCAACAGCATTTGGATGGGGAAAGGGACGAAAGGAAAACGAGGAGAGGTCACTTTTCAGCTCCCTCATTAAGATGCAGATGCCAAAGATGCCAGAAATAAAATGCATTAAGTTCACAGGGTTTGCGCCTCTGGTGCGTCCAAGCTACAGCCCTCTCCTTATAACTAACCAATTCATGCAATCAGCGNNAAAAAAAAAAAAAAAAAAAGGCGAGTGTCAGCAGCCGACCTCCAATAGGGGCCTGGGTTCCCAAAATTTCACGTGACTTAGAGTTGGCGCGCGGCCCGGCGGGCTCCACTCCGCTCCAGAACTTTAGGTCAAAAGTCTAACTAACCAGACGCTGGCGGCTGAACCTAAGTTTCTGGTCTGCGCCGACGAGGGCAGTACTATCCCTTTGGAAGTACTACGTATCGACTAACTACTTCATTCATCCGCGACCTAGTTATCATGTTTGACAGTAGCTAGTCAGGTACAAAAACTAAATCTGTGGGGAGGAAAAATAAGAAGACTGCCACAAAATGTGGGCGACTCGGCAGTACTCAGATATTTCCAGTTGGATATATCATGATTCTATAATATCTCGCATCTTCTGCACTTCAGAAAGGCCCCAGTTTTGCATCCACTCGCATCTAACTACCTGCCCAATAGTGGCCCTCTGGGCCGGCTCAAGAACGAGCATCGACCTCAGCATGTCATTTAATGCTTTTTCCTCGTCAGGCTGTAATAGCTCGAATTTTTTCCTCCCTCGAGATTTCTGTATATCTCTCTCTAGCTTCGTTACCATACCACTGACGAATGCTCCCTTTAACATTTTTTCGTCCATCTTTGTCGAACCAATCACTTCTCTTCTCCCAAATTTTCCACCATCGATCGGGGAGTTTTCCCAACGTCTCAACATGTTCAACCGTCACATCATCCAGCGTGGCAGGGAAGGATTCAAACGGTGGGTTAGACCCAAAGATCTCCCAGATAGAACATGCAAGCGTCCAAATATCTCCAGGAAAAGAAAGAGACTTGCCTTCTTCGGTTAAGAAGCGAGACTCTGGTGGTGATAATAAAAGTGGCGTATGGGCTGTCAATCGTTTTGTAGTTTGAGGATCAAATGCTTCTCCAAAGTCTGCAATCAAAATCGACGAGTCGGCTAATGTAATTTCATCACTCCCAAGGCCAAGCCAGATAGGAACAACCACCTCCGAAGGTACTCCAAGGTCAAGTGCTGCGCCATCACGACGAATAACGCGCTGGGTACTTGGTTCTCCAACTTTTGAGTAGAGCTGCTGGCTGCTCATTTTTTGTATATCAGGAGGCAGGCTGAGAAGGATATTTCCGAGGTGAAGGTCTATATTCGGATTCAGATTATAGTACAGAAGGAGAATATTTGACAAATATGTCCAAACGTACCCCCATGAACAATTCCTTGGGAATGTATGAATTGTAAGCCAAGTATAAGCTGTGACAAAATTGCTCTAGCCGCCGGGAGATGAAGAAGCCGGTGATAAGATGCATCTTTAGCTTCATGGATACTGATTCTCGCTGCATCAGTAACGAAACATCGGTGGGTGCCATTTGGTCCAGGGAAGGTGAATGAGTCCGATAGTGACGGTATATTTATCTTTCCAGGATGTTCAGATGGAGAGTCTGCGAGATGTGAGAGGATTTGCGCCTCACAGGTTCGCTCTACTGACTCTGCTGTGGAAATCTTGAGTGCAACCAGGCGACCTTCTCTCGTATCCTCAGCTAGCCAGGTCGTTGCAGATCTGCCATACCCCAGCTTATGGCATATAATGTATCTACCATTATGATATGCATCCCCTATCATGGTTGGGTGGTATCCACCATGAGTATAGTAATCAAGCCGCTCGACGTCTTCGACGTACTCGTACTTCACATCGCTGGGTTGTAAAGTTGTCACGCTCCTGCGAGTGTAATGCGCAAAGGGTATCAGGTTTTTTTTCGTTGATATCAGGGGTCTTAATTGTGTCTTTGGCAAGGCAAATAAAGTACTACTAGCCATGGTGCCGTGATGGCCGAATGCTTTTCGTAGTATCCTATCTGTGTAGTTGGTAATGTAAAATGTTTGCAGTGAGCTGCCTCTCCCCGGTAGTTATAATTGATTAGCTAGCTAGTGATTGAACTTTAACTTACGGGCGACAGATAAGAGAATAAGCTCTTGATTGGTTGAATAACTATTTACTATATCCTCTGACAAAAATGAACTGCCTAGTTGGTTATTCTGGCCTAATATATGACAAGTTCTCAACCTGAATTCCCCCTGTCATAACACCTACACGCCAAAGTTACCCTGTTCTCGCAAAGGACACAGAGCTCACGAAGCACCAGTCCTTCTATTTAAGAGTAATTCCTTCGGAACTGTTCAGGGTCTTCAATAGCGACCTTTGTCAGCCCATCAATGTCTTCCTTTGGCAAGTTGAGCAAGTCGTTTTGAAGCTTATTCGTAGCCTCAAATGCGCCAGAGCCATTTCCTGACCCTTCTGGGTAAAACATTCTTGTGAACATGGCCCTCACAAAGCCACCCCGATCCCCCTGGCGGAATGATTCCACTGCACTTTTATAACGTTGCTCCGATGGTTCATGGGTGATTTTCCAGTCCTCCTCTTTAGTTCCAGTTGCTCGCAGAATGGACTGGAACATATCCTTCTGGCTGACTAGGAAGGATGATATGAAAACGTTCGTGTTCCTGAAGCCAGAAATGGTCAGGCGCTCATCCTCGCCATTCTCGGGCTTTTCCTTTAGAGAAAGGAAATTTGCAACTGCTCGTCCCGTTTGATCCCAGGTTGAGGTGTTGATGCGGGCCGTGCCGTCATCAAAAAATGTCACAGAGCGGTTATCGATATCGAATCCGTATGCGTTTGGGCCCCCAACCAAGCTGAACTCATACCAGAAACCACACACAAAGTTGATCCAGGCGCTTTTACCAAGCTCCTCTATACGCTTATAGATCGCACGCTGGTGAGGTCCAATAAAAGCGTCATCAGACACCGGATGAGTTGCGTCCAGTCCCCAGCCATTTGGGATGATGTATGGAACATCGGCTTCTGCAGCCGCTTCAACCAATTTGATGTGTATATCCTTTGGTGCAGAAGCGGCCATAGTAATGATAAGGACATCTTGTCCCCGGAGTGCAGATACCAGCGTAGATTGATTGTCGTAATCGACTTTGGCAACATTGACCCCCTCTGGCATCACTGTATTGCTAGCACTTCGTGTAATAGCAGTCAGTTCATGTTTTTGAGTCTTGAGGATCTCCCGAACAATATGTTGTCCAATTGTCCCGGTGGCCTGGAAGTTCAATTAGCGTTGTACATGTATGTCCGACTATTAGTTGCCCACTACGTACCCCGACAATGGCGACCTTCTTTAGGTAAGACATGCTGGAAATGCGATGGTAGCAATTTCTTCGAAGCAGTTGATTATATATTAGCCGCAAATTAGGTATCTTGATGAAGACTTGAAGTTGTCCGAGTGTTTGGCTGAAGATAGAATTGCCTGCTAAAGAATTGACTTGGGCAGGTTAATTGGGGTCATATTTATGTTATTGGTATCGCTAGCCAGGGCCATTTCCTGCCAGGCATTGAGATGGTGAAAGGGAGGATTCCGATAACCCCGTTCCTAGATTTCATCTATGGTTCCCTGAAGGATCGGGCGGTTCGCTAATTGATTTCCTTTTGCCCTTCGACTTTGAGACTGAAGCCCGGAGTTTACGTTTATGACGTAATCAAGAGAGAGTGTCTTAAGTCCGGGTACTCCGGCTTTAAGAAAGGCTGTCTTATCCCCATGCATCAGTCGCGCCAAACAAAATATGTAGGATTGAAGGATCAAGAGAGTTTCATATGGTGCAGTGGACTGGTTGGGATGGGTTCAGTCTCAAAAAACTGCTGGAGCGGACAAGGCCGGTATGGATACATGGAACCAAAGCTGCGAGACCGGTATAATAAGGATTCATTCATTTCTTGTATGCTCATGTAAAATAGGTACACTTAGCCGATAGATCTATCTCCATAAGATTCCGGCTCTCGGCCTGTGTGGCAGTCCATATCATAAACAGGGGTGAGCGCAAAGTAAGCAATCCTTGAAGAGTATTTACAGGGACTTCCCCATGAACTTCCGTTTCGAAAAGCTTAGCCACCACTACCAGTCACCCGTGTTAGCATAGAACGTCTATTGGAAGGGAGCTTTGACTTACTTTGGATGGCCCTTCACCCCCGGGGTATAATCTGGTGTGAAGTCGAATTGCAAGTTCTTGTCGCACTTGGGATATATATCTGGGTGTACTGCGTTAATTCCTATCATAGTACACTTCACCAAAACTTGACAGCACCGGACAGAAACACAACATACTGTCTTAAAGCCTCAGCATCCTGGCGGTCCTTTGGAGGCTCAAACGCCTGGTTAAGAGGAAAGGCGGCGTCGCCAGGTATGGCAAAGTGGTCGAGGGAAGCGTTGATAAGTGCCTAGCAAGTGTCAGCAGCGACTGATCGTACACATGCCCGGCCGTCCGAATTATCACCATACCTTCTCTGCTTCCCTTGAAGACATGTTCGGCTTAACTTTACCAAGACACTCGCTCACAAATAATATGCCATATATCATCATGCGGTCCGCGGGGCCTTTGATTTCGAAATTACGGAAGAATGTATTGGCACGGTATAGCGAGAGGACTTCATCGAGACAGTCGTACGATTCACTGTCAGGGTCGATATCGAGGTCGGATGATCCTGGGGGAAGTAGAGGTAGTGTATATGCTGGTCCGCGTGTGCGGGTGCGGAGGGGAAGAATAGGGAAGTTCCCTATTAATTCGAGTAAGCAAATATTCCTTGTCTATTCCTTAGAGATAACTGCGCTAGTCCAGATGTATGGAATACCTATGGTCTGCACATTGGCTTCATCGAGGAAGATAGAGTGGTAGGCCTAGTTTGCGAGTTAGGTATCAATGTAATCTGGCAGGAAGGCTATTTGTCCACATACCGGCATTATGACAGGAGTGTAACACAGTAAGCGGGGAAATAAGTCAGATTGAGAATTACTCCTGTGCTCTGTTGTGGATTGCGTGCCGTCTATCAATATGGTATCAGGTCTTCAAGGCCGCCGAGCTTGTTGATTATGGCGGGATAACACCTGCCAGGTGCAGGTGGGCGGCAGCCGCGGAAGCACGGGTTTTTATTTCTCCGATTCCGGCCGCTTTAAACGCGCCGCGAGCGCGCGTCAAAAAGCTGAAGCTATCAAGAAGCAGTTGATAGAGGCCAATTGTTCCTCTAAGACCGGGCGATACTAGAAAATAGCTCTCTAGGATCGATATATTGTCATCTACTTTCAGAATATCCAGAGATTGTGAATACACGCCAACATGTCTGACTACGAGGATGATATGGACGTTGATGCCCCGCCTGCCCGGGACACGGCCGCGTTTACTGCAGACCCTACAGATGTGAAGGGGAAGAGAATTGTTGCTGATTTACCAGTCGAAGCCGGAGATAATCTTCCCTGGTAGGTATTCTTCCATGTCTAGGAACTTCTCGATAGCTATGATGTAATGCTGATTTAGAAAATAGGGTTGAGAAATACCGCCCAGATACACTCGACGATGTCTCTGGACACCAAGATATCATTGCTACGATAAACAGATTTGTCGACTCAAATGTGAGAACGAACCGGCATACCAAACATATGGAACCCCCTACTAAAGTACTATACGTAGAGACTTCCGCATCTCCTGCTCTATGGCCCTCCAGGAACTGGAAAGACTTCCACAATCCTCGCGCTGGCGCGGCGGATATATGGATCAAAAAATATGCGGCAGATGGTCCTGGAACTTAACGCAAGTGACGATAGAGGAATCGATGTAGTGAGAGAGCAGATTAAGACTTTTGCCAGTACGTCTCTAGTATACAAAGGTAGAAGCGAGGCAGAATCACTAACAGCTATTGTAGGCACGAAACAAATATTTTCAACGGCGCCCTCGTCTGGCTCGGGGCTGGGGGCATTCAAGTTAATTATTCTTGACGAGGCCGATGCGATGACCTCCGCGGCCCAGATGGCACTACGTCGAATCATGGAAAAGTACACCGCCAACACCCGATTTTGTATCATCGCGAACTACACACACAAGCTTTCGCCCGCACTCCTGTCTCGATGCACACGGTTTCGATTTAGTCCATTGAAGGAAAAGGATATCAGAAGGCTAGTTGATACCGTGATAGAAACGGAAGAAGTGCAGATACAGCCAGATGCCATTGACAGCCTGGTTAAGTTGAGCAAGGGAGATATGAGACGAGCCTTGAACGTTCTTCAAGCCTGCCACGCAAGCAGTAAGTATCATTTGGGTATTCTATTACTGCGTTCAATGTGTATAGATCGCTAACGAGCCAAACACAGGCATGCCTCTACCCTCGAAAAATGACGATGCTAATGAACAGCAGCAAGAAAGAGAAACAATAACCGAAGAGACGATATACACATGTATCGCTGCACCACACCCAGCCGATATCAAAATCATCCTCGAAACCTTACTGTCAACGTCAGACGTGACTTCGTGTTTAAATACTGTACAAACCCTCAAGGCCAACAAAGGGCTGGCATTGGCCGATATAATCTCCGCACTATCGACGGAACTTCAGAGCCTAGAGGTCCCTGCACAAGTTAGGGTATCTTGGATAGAAGGACTGGCGGACGTCGAATGGAGACTGTCAGGCGGTGGAAGTGAGGTTATACAGACGGGTGGTATGATTGGAGTAATACGCTCTGGCTGCGAGCTAATGGGAGATAAAGATATATTAATGAATGAATAGAAGACTAGTCTTTGATTTCTAGTCTGTGTCGAGTTCATGAAAAGATATATACATGTGCGAATAACTATACCCGTATTGTATATATACAACGTAGCAAATGATTCCAAAAGCGACTACCGTGGCTGGATATAATCTTGAAGAGGTCTGGTGCACTTAGACATCTTTGAAGCCACGGCTTCGACTTCACCCAAGACCCTCAGGATATTACGGCCCATTACATCCTTGAGGTCCTCAGCACCAATTCCACGGTTAGCCAGCTCCTGGATCAAATCTGGGTAGTGAGAGACATCCTCGAGCCCCGTGGGAACACCACTCATGCCATCGAAGTCAGAGCCAATTCCAACATGTTTATAGCCGATCAAGTTGCCGATATATTGAATGTGGTCAGCAACATCAGACAAAGTAGCCTTGCCGGATAGATTGACGTAGCCCGGCAAGAAAGTAACCATTATAACACCTCCGTTTGTCTTGAGCATATTAAGAACATCATCCGGCGCGTTTCTTGTATGTTTGCAGACAGTAAAGGCGTTGGAATGAGAGAATATAACGGGTGCCCGGGAGGCCTTCAGTGCATCTCGCTGCGTGTCTGCACTGGTATGCGATATATCGACCATCATGCCTATGCGGTTCATCTCACGCACCAGGTCCTTGCCGGCGTCTGACAGGCCACCGTGGAGAGGCTCTGCAGGATGCTCGCTATCAGCGTACTTGTTGTGGCAGAAGTGAGTGAGCGTAGCATATCGGACTCCGAGATTGTAGTATGCTCGCAAGATACTGGCACTGTTTCCAATCTGATGAAGGCCCTCGATGCCCATCAGACTGGAGATCTTGCCTGGCTGCCGTGCAAAGTTCATCTTCACGTCTGCTGCCGTCAGGGCGCCGACGAGGGTGTCTGGGTATCGTTGAATGAGCCTCTGAACCAGGTCGATCTGCTGAAACGTATCATGCACGCTCTTTGAATAGACTGAATCATCATACTTGTCTGATTCTTCCGGGCTGTTGACTCGATTAGCTATGCTTCTCCATTGATAAATATATATCATATAGCAACGCAGGAGATATCCTACCAATCGACATAGACACTCCAGAACTGACCCCCCACACGGCCCTTTTGGAGCCTGGGGAAGTCGACATGCATGGGCAAACGGTCCTCTATGGTGAAGTTCTTCTGATAGATGTCATTCCCATACATCCTGCGAATGAACTCTGGGAAGTCATCGTGCGTATCTGCTCAACGGATTAGCCGGATGCCATGCAAGTGAGATTTATGAACACAAAGCCCAACTTACCTATCAATGGAGACTCTCGCATCAGCTTGTCTACATCGATGGTTCCATTTCCCTGGTTAGCACGGCCATATAAGATGCAGGCATAAAGTGCGCCGGTCAAGCCGAGGAGCTGAGCAAGCCGCAGAGCGATGGTGCGCCAGCCAGGACGTCTCGGGGCTTCTGGACGTTCGACATCGAGTTCTCCATGCAGGAGACTCGCTTTCTTCTCGGACATCTCGTCTTGTGCAAGCTGGATCAGACGAGATCCAGATGCCGAAGTCGTTCAACTCGTTATGCGGGAGTTTGATCTTTGCAGCCAAAGCAGTCACGACATCCCAAGGCTGCCAACCCGCAAGTCTCAATAATAATGAATATTGATCAACAAGCCTACAAGGCTTTGAGAAAAAGAAAACATCGATGTCAAGCATTTTCGACTTTTTTGCGGGGGGAAAGGCCCCTCGGCTGTAAGAAACAAACCCCCTGCTGAAGGGGGCGTCCGGTTACGAGCTGATGGCCATCCAGGTATCTCCAAGGACGAGTGAAGAGTTGGCTACCTGATAGACGAGCCGAGAGACGTTGTTGCAACCGACTAGTTATGACCCACCCATATATATCATCATGGGGATCAATTCATGTCTGATACTCCAGCTGTTCTCCTGTCGAAGCGTCCCAGCCATTATCAGGGTCCAAATATGGCCGACAGGGAGGCCGGGAAGGACGGAAGACGCAGCTCAGATGCTTGCGTTCGTGCATGAACCAGACCGCGGATAAAGGCGTCACAGCCGAAGGCTTCTTCGACTCATGGCTTTGTCTCACAGGCTGGATACGAATATCTGGCCAACGGCAGCCCGCAGTTCGAGTGCGGATTCCACGGTTCAACCACCCACAGGCCAACGGGCCCCAGTCATATAACCATAAAGGCAGGCCTGCATTTGCTTCGGAGAAAACAAAGAAGGATAAGCATGAGCTAGGCATATATCCAGTTCATCCCCCACTTGGACCCCTCGACGCTGACTGCCGATAGCCCGGAGGACTGCGCCGGCCGGCTAGCTAACTACCAAGTTACACGGCTATATAACTACCGCCGTGGGCCCTTTTTCAGACTCCAAAAACCCTCAGAGAAAGCACTGAGGAATACCTATCAAGTCAATTGATAACGAGGAATAGCAAGGAACACAAGATGCTGAACTCGGCGTCGCTGTTGGCCGTCTCCCTGCTGGCCCAGGCTGCTACGGCAGAGACAGTGCTGGGAGCCTATATCTTCTCCCGCCATGGAGACCGGACGTCCAAGTCGACTCCTCCCACTGTTCTGACTGACCTGGGATACAGCCAGGTCTACTCGTCGGGCAGATACTACCGTGACCGATACATATCTTCCTCGTCTTCTTCGCAGGTGCTGGGTATCAGCCCGAACATCATCTCCCCAGGCGAGATTACGGCCTCCGCTCCCCAGGACGAGGTCCTCCAGAAGTCGGCCCTCGCCTTCTTCCAGGGCCTCTACCCGCCGGCCGGCAAAGAAGCAAAGACGACTCTGCGCAATGGCACCGTTATCGAGGCCCCCATGGACGGATACCAGCTCGTTGCCATCGAGCAGGTCAAGTCTGGCTCCAACAGCGAGAACATTGCCTGGCTGCAGAGCGCCAGTGCATGCAAAAATGCTAAGATCAGCAGCAACGACTATTTCGCTTCAAAGGAGTACAAGGACCTGCTAAAGTCAACGGAGGGCTTCTACGAGGATGTTGCTCCTCTGGTTAAAGACACTATTGTTGCGGAGAAGGTCAACTTCAAGAATGCCTATACCGTCTTCGACCTGCTTAACGTTGCTTCCATCCATAATTCATCAGACTCTTTCCCATCTTTGTCCAGCGAAGTTTACAGCCAACTGCAATCCCTGGCTAATATCCATGAATTCGGTCTGGCCTACAATGCCTCAGAGCCCATTCGTGCCGTCAGCGGAGCTCTCTTGGCCGGTGAAGTACTGAATTCCTTCATGGATACAATCAAAGCGCCCAAGACCAAGCCCAAGGTCAACGTCCAATTCGGGGCCTACGCTACCTTCCTCTCGTTCTTCGGCTTGACCAAGCTTCCTACTGCCAACCATGACTTTAACGGCATACCAGACTATGCGTCTACCATGGTCTTTGAGCTCGTCACCAACGCCAGCACTTCTTCTGGCTCCTTCCCGGCTGAATCAGAAATTAGCGTCCGATTCCTCTTCCACAACGGAACTACCATCCCCGGTTCACCTGAGACAGAGCCAACGGCCTATCCTCTTTTCGGCCAGGAGAAGACCCTACTTCCTTGGTCCGACTTTGTCTCGCACATGAAGGAGATTGCCATCACTTCTCAGGATCAGTGGTGTCAAGCCTGTGGTAGTGCAAGTGAAGGGTGTCCCGGAGCCCCCTCTTCCGGCGGCCCTTCTGGTCCTTCTACCTCCTCCAACAGTGACAGTGGTATCTCCAGGCCAGTGGCTGGTGTTATCGGTGCCTTGGTTACTCTTTCAGTAATCCTCAGTGTGCAGGCTCTAGTCTTCTTCGTTGGCGGGTTCACCATTACACGCAAGAGTAAGCGTGTGAACAGCATCGGTGAAATGAAACAAGGGTCTGTTTGAGAATGAGATGGGAGAGGATAACTATACTTACGAACTGATATGCTCTGACGATTCACGTTCATACGAGTAGTTGAAGCTGTTTGCTACACTAGTTACAGCTATGATTCTATGTTCACACTAAAAACACTTCCACTCAATTGATGCTACTATAGCCATCAACGATATTAATGAGATGATATACATAAATGTTACCCTAAAGCCTTATATACAAATCTTTTATATAGATTCAACTCCTGTAGCCATGGAGCTAGGTACCTAACCTGAGGCCATCCCAGCGGAAGAACATATTTTCCATGGGAATTAATTATTTGTTTTGAGCGTGATAGATGGGTTTAGGACCAGCTAGATGCTATAGACGAGAAAGGAATCTGCATTGATACAGTGCATATCTTCATGAGGATCTGCTAAATAGCAGCCGGCCGTCGTTGTGCTGAGCCGGCTAGCCAAGTACGAGCAGGGCAGAAGTGACTTCGAGCTCCCCGGCCAAACCTCCAAAGAACAGCCACATCCCAACATCGCCCTTGCAACGAGAGCTCAAGAACAGCCCTGAAAATCAAACATGTCTGCTCATTACGATACCGAGCCCCCTCCAACAGCCTCCGCGACCCTCCATACCACCGTCGGACCCATACACATCTCCCTGTTTGCGCGACAGACACCGCTCGCGTGCAAGAACTTCCTCCAGCACTGCCTAGACGGATACTACGAGAACACTACTTTCCACCGCGTGGTACCCAACTTCATTATCCAGGGTGGTGATCCCACTGGCTCCGGCTCAGGAGGCTCCTCCATTTACGAATACCCGGAATTCGAGTACGATCCTCGTGATGGCGAAAAGGTTGTGTTTAAAGATGAATTTCACAGCCGGCTGCGGTTTAACAGGCGCGGCCTGGTAGGCCTGGCGAAGAGCGAAGATGGTACCTACGGGAGCCAATTCTTTATCACACTGGCGAACGTGGAGAGAGATTTGAAAAATAGCTGTACCATGTTTGGCAGGGTGGAAGGAGAGAGCATATACAAAGTTGCTAGCATTGCGGAAGCAGAGCTGGTAGAAGGCTCTGACCGGCCAATGTATGCTGTGAAGATTACTGGGTGTGAGGTGGATCAGCTAGGCCCATTCG